GAGAACTGGGATATGTGGGTAGGCTGAGGGAACTGGGATATGAGGGTAGGCTGAGGGAACTGGGATATGTGGGTAGGCTGAGAGAACTGGGATATGTGGGTAGGCTGAGGGAACTGGGATATGAGGGTAGGCTGAGGGAACTGGGATATGTGGGTAGGCTGAGGGAACTGGGATATGAGGGTAGGCTGAGAGAACTGGGATATGTGGGTAGGCTGAGAGAACTGGGATATGTGGGTAGGCTGAGGGAACTGGGATATGAGGGTAGGCTGAGGGAACTGGGATATGAGGGTAGGCTGAGGGAACTGGGATATGTGGGTAGGCTGAGGGAACTGGGATATGTGGGTAGGCTGAGGGAACTGGGATATGAGGGTAGGCTGAGGGAACTGGGATATGTGGGTAGGCTGAGGGAACTGGGATATGAGGGTAGGCTGAGGGAACTGGGATATGTGGGTAGGCTGAGGGAACTGGGATATGAGGGTAGGCTGAGGGAACTGGGATATGAGGGTAGGCTGAGGGAACTGGGATATGTGGGTAGGCTGAGGGAACTGGGATATGTGGGTAGGCTGAGGGAACTGGGATATGAGGGTAGGCTGTAAGATCTGAACCTCAGAGCAACATATCTTTTCGTACACATTCAACTGAATTTATGTACATTATCTATAGCACAGTTACCAAAACTGAACTCCATAGTCTAAATGGTGCCCACCAGGGGCAGGTTACCTTTGACCCGGGGCCCGGTCTCTCACATGGAGATGTCTTATAAGTAACGTTTCTAAATATAAACCCAAGTATCCTTTTTGACATATTTCGAACATTTATTCATTGATATTTGGCTTAAGATTCCAACTGATCTTAACTACCTAATCTTTGTCTCATTCTTAGTTAACAACTTTAACACTGTCTAGTTCATATCTGGTAACTCTATTATCATCACTGGGGAGAGAATGATGATGGTGATGATAGAGAATTGGGATTCTCCCCCACAAGTAGATACAAGACGAAGGCTTCCTGTCACCGTGTATCCACACAGGTAATACACACATACAAGACGAACACGGCACACACCAGTATATGGAGTGGTGCTAGAGTATGACCATGAACCCTTCACCTCCTCGAGCACATGAAGGTATTTTATCCTAATAAGGTTTTAGCTGTGTGGGACGTGAGCAAGTGGAGGAGGGAAGACTAATTCCATATTGGATTCAAATATGTATATGACAAGGCTCAAAGAGGATGGGAGTCAGCACACCAGACGGTCGATGGGTGGAAGGCTAGTTCCATGTACACGCAACACGCAACACACGCACACGCAACACACGCAACATATACATGCAACAAGTACATATACAAGCAACACAACCACACAGGCTAAGGTGGCTAGGGCCTAGTGGCTGAGTGGATAGCGCTCGGGATACGTAATCCTAAGGGTCAGCGGATCGATCCCCGCCGATGGCGGAAACAAATGGGCAGAGTTTCATTCACCCTCATGCTCCTGTTCACCAAGCAGTAATATAGGTACCTGGGAGTTAGACAGCTGCTACGGGCTGCTTTCTGTGTGTACTCACCTAATTGTACTCACCTAATTGTGCTTGCGGGGGTTGAGCTTTGGCTCTTTGGTCCCGCCTCTCAACTGTTAATCAACTGGTGTACAGATTCTTGAGCCTACTGGGCTTTATCAAATCTACATTTGAAACTGTGTATGGAGTCAGCCTCCACCACATCACTTACTAAGTGTGTGTGTGTGTGTGTGTGTGTGTGTGTGTGTGTGTGTGTGTGTGTGTGTGTGTGTGTGTGTGTGTGTGTGTGTGTGATCACGCCAGACCTGTCCCCTGAAGCTCATATCAAGAGGATAACATCAGCAGCATATGCCAGGTTGGCCATCATAAGAACGGCCTTTAGAAACTTGTGTGAGGAATCTTTCAGAACTTTGTATGCCACATATGTCAGACCAATCCTGGAGTATGCGGCTCCAGCATGAAGTCCATATCTAGTCAAGCATAAGACTCAACTGGAAAAGGTTCAAAGGTTTGCCACCAGACTAGTACCCGAAGTAAGGGGTATGAGCTACGAGCAGAGACTACGGGAATTAAACCTCACGTCACTGGGAGACAGAAGATCTAGAGGGGGACATGATCACCACATACAAGATTCTCAGAGGAATTGAAAGGATAGATAAAGACAGACTATTTAACACAAGGGCCACACGCACTAGGGGACACAGGTGGAAATTGAGTGCCCAAATGAGCCATAGAGACGTTAGAAAGAATTTTTTTCAGTATTAGAGTAGTAGACAAATGTAATGCATTAGGAAGTGATGTGGTGGAGGCTGACTCCATACACAGCTTCAAGTGTAGATATGATAGAGCCCAGATGGCTCAGGAACCTGTACATTAGTTGATTGACAGTTGAGAGGCGGGATCAAAGAGCCAGAGCTCAACCCCCGGAAGCACAACTAGGTAAGTACACACACACACACACACACACACACACACACACACACACACACACACACACACACACACACACACGTTACAGGAATCAGAAGAATATATTCATTGCTTGGATGTACGAACTCCATCGGCAGTGACGCACATTAAGGAAGTAACACTGATCATTCACAACACTGTTTGAAACCTATGTTAGACCAGACCTAGAATATACTGCACCAGCATGGCACCCCTACATTCTCACTCTCAATAATCTCAGCCATGAAGACGGGGTTAAAGAGTTCAATCTGCCAACTCTAGAAGCTTGAAAGGCCAGAGGAGATGTGATGACAACGTAGAAGATATCGAGGGGAATTGATGAGTTGGACAGTGACAATATATTCCACGTCAGATGATAAACAAATGAAGTGAACTGGGAGTAGAGGTTATAGAAGCCACCTCCATACACAGCTGCAAGAGCACATGACAGTAATAGAACGTCGAGAGGAATAAAAGATCCAGGTTGCTATCAGCTAGAAGGCGGGGCTCTAGAGATAGATCTTACCAACCGTAGGCACAGATAAAAAAAACCACACAATTAAAAATTGCATAAATAATAAAAATCGACTCACAATATGTCAGCTCCACTCAGCGCAAGTGTCAGCCTTGTCAGTATTGGCAGCAAAAGTGTCTCTTGACGCGTAAATATGCGTCGTAAATATATGCGTCCCGCATGCAACTTGTTGAGTGTTTTAGTGCTTGTTAACCTACTACTAAAGCCTATGACTAGTGAATGAATTGCGTGCTGACGGCAATTCCGACTACTTATGTTGCTGGGAGCTCCAGCAACACTCTCAATGGCTCTACAGTGCCTCGAGGGAGCCACAGTTCTGGCTCTCTCTAGTGGGGTTATGGCTGACCACGCCACCACTCTGTACCTCACAGTGGTGGGTTTACCACAGTGTGAGGAGCCAGGGGTGGGTGTGAGGAGCCAGGGGTGGGTGTGAGGAGCCAGGGGTGGTGGTGAGGAGCCAGGGGTGGGTGTGAGGAGCCAGGGGTGGGTGTGAGGAGCCAAGGGTGGGTGTGAGGAGCCAGGGGTGGGTGTGAAGAGCCAGGGGTGGGTGTGAGGAGCCAGGGGTGGGTGTGAGGAGCCAGGGGTGGGTGTGAGGAGCCAGGGGTGGTGGTGAGGAGCCAGGGGTGGGTGTGAGGAGCCAGGGGTGGGTGTGAAGAGCCAGGGGTGGGTGTGAGGAGCCAGGGGTGGTGGTGAGGAGCCAGGGGTGGGTGTGAGGAGCCAGGGGTGGGTGTGAAGTGCCAGGGGTGGGTAAGAGGAGCCAGGGGTGGGTGTGAGGAGCCAGGGGTGGGTGTGAGGAGCCAGGGGTGGGTGTGAGGAGCCAGGGGTGGTGTGAGGAGCCAGGGGTGGGTAAGAGGAGCCAGGGGTGGGTGTGAGGAGCCAGGAGTGGGTGTGAAGAGCCAGGGGTGGGTGTGAGGAGACAGGGGTGGGTGTGAGGAGCCAGGGGTGGTGTGAGGAGCCAGGGGTGGGTGTGAAGAGCCAGGGGTGGGTGTGAAGAGCCAGGGGTGGGTGTGAGGAGCCAGGGGTGGGTGTGAGGAGCCAGGGGTGGGTAAGAGGAGCCAGGGGTGGGTGTGAGGAGCCAGGGGTGGGTGTGAAGAGCCAGGGGTGGGTGTGAGGAGCCAGGGTGGGTGTGAAGAGCCAGGGGTGGGTAAGAGGAGCCAGGGGTGGGTGTGAGGAGCCAGGGGTGGGTAAGAGGAGCCAGGGGTGGGTGTGAAGAGCCAGGGGTGGGTGTGAAGAGCCAGGGGTGGGTGTGAGGAGCCAGGGGTGGGTGTGAGGAGCCAGGGGTGGGTGTGAGGAGCCAGGGGTGGGTGTGAGGAGCCAGGGGTGGGTGTGAGGAGCCAGGGGTGGGTGTGAGGAGCCAGGGGTGGGTGTGAGGAGCCAGGGGTGGGTGTGAGGAGCCAGGGGTGGGTGTGAGGAGCCAGGGGTGGGTGTGAGGAGCCAGGGGTGGGTGTGAGGAGCCAGGGGTGGGTGTGAAGAGCCAGGGGTGGGTGTGAAGAGCCAGGGGTGGGTGTGAGGAGCCAGGGGTGGGTGTGAAGAGCCAGGGGTGGGTGTGAGGAGCCAGGGGTGGGTGTGAGGAGCCAGGGGTGGGTGTGAGGAGCCAGGGGTGGGTGTGAGGAGCCAGGGGTGAGTGTTGAGTCAATGAAGGGCGTGGACCAGAAGCGTTTATCTGGAGATTCAGGGAAGATTGTGTGGGTGCAGGGGAGAGTGTGGGGGGGGGGGGGAGGGATGAATTTCGCCACGTCTCTGGTTAACTACCTGATAGTGCTGTCACTTAACTCAACCTTTATACTTAACCAAACCTGACCCCAACCGCAATCCATGACCAAACATGGCCCTAACCACCATCCATGACCAAACCTCACCCCATGCACCACCCGTGACCTAACCTAATTCGTAACCATCCCCATGACTAAATCTAACCCTCCCCACCAATCTTGACCCTCACCCGTCATGTGTAAATAAATAGTCCTGGCCCCATACTAACAAAGGTGACCTCTGCAGCCATGGGGTCCGGCAGCAGCAGCCCCAGGAGCCACGAGGAGGGTGCCGGGGCAGGAGACGACAGAGAGGGCGCCATGTTCGAGCAGCGTCCCCCACACTGCCGCCTGGAGGGCAAGAACCAGGTCTCCTCTGACGACGAGTTCACTGACGTCTCTTACACTGACCTCGGCCACATCATCACTCCGCAGGTCAGTATAGTGACCGTGAAGTATATAGTGAGTCGTGAAGTATACTTCACGTCTCCGCCTCAGCTCATCAACACATTATTATTTGATCTTGTTTTCGTCCACCTGGCTAGACTGTTCGTTGGGTTATTTATTGATCTCTAAGGCTTTACAGAACTGGGACAGAACCTGACAATCCTGTCGCTTAACAGATGAGTGTGGTTAATTAGGGCAACACTACTTTGGCTTAATGTTGTGAGAATAGTGACTTTGAACCTACTTAAGACCCATTTGGTTTCGTTTCACTTTGTCAAGAAGAGGAATCATGCTAGGTTTATCCTCGTCTTCAAGACAATGACGTCATCCTTTAGAATACAGGTCAATAGAAAAAAAATCCCAGAATGAAACATAAAAAACCAAGGACACTGCAGAAAGTCTATTGACCCAAATGAGTCATCTCCTGTTATTATCCACCAAACCCATTATATATACAGGCGATGAGTCACAATAACGTGGCTAAAGTATGTTGACCAGACCAAACGCTAGAAGGTGAAGGGACGACGACGATTCTCACAACTCGATTGTGAGAATCGACTTGAGAATTGTCCGGGAATTGTCCGTCGTCCCATTATATATATATATATATATATATATATATATATATATATATATATATATATATATATAATATATATATATATATATATATATATATATATATATAACTGAAAACTCACACCCCAGAAGTGACTCGAACCCATACCTTGAGTTACCTTGAGGTGCTTCCGGGGCTTAGCGTCCCCGCGGCCCGGTCGTCGACTAGGCCTCCTGGTTGCCGGACTGATCAACCAGGCTGTTGGATGTGGCTGCTCGCAGCCTGACGTATGAGTCACAGCCTGGTTGATCAGGTGTAATTATGTTTAGAGCAGGGTTCTTCCCAGCTGGTTTCACCATTTGTGTTGTCTTCAAAGATTGCCTTGATAGCATTGCTCTAGTTGTTTGAGCTGCTGCTGTGGGATGTGGTTGCATATTTACACTATATGCGGCCTGTCGTGCTTTCCAGCGTGCAGTTCTAGATCATCAGGAATCTTCTTAGTTGTATTCCTTGCGGTTTGCCTCTCTTTTTACACCCTTTCTACTTTCTGGAGGGAAAGGGAAGGGAAGGGAATTATTAGGAGAAATCACTAAATCATTATAACTATATAGCATTTGGAAGGGATCAATATAAGGATTTTTGATGGGACATGGGGACGAAATTGTGCCCAACCACTTGGACAGTCGGGGATTGAAAACCGGCTTGCAAAAAAATGGGCCTTCGCTCTACTGTCTAGCCCAAGTGGTTGGGCGGGAAGGGAAGGTAGATCAATCTTTGATAGCTGGCAGTGCAGTATTTTAGCCTCAGTCTGCTTCAGTTGAGTTCTTCGGATCCAGCTTTGGGCCATGTGTAGATCCATATCTCCTGGTTCCTGGCTGGGGTAGGGGTTCTAGTGCATCGTTCGCTCTGGACAGTGTTCCTGTTCACCCTTCGTTTTTGAAGTGTTGACCTTTTAGGCAAGTTGATTGAAACCTCAGGTAACCTCAGGGCTGTCATTTGCAGTTGAAGTGGTGTGCTTGGGTTGCGCTATACTGCTCCTGCATCAGCTTTGCCAACTGCATCAACTTTGCCAACCCATACTCCCAGAAGCAACACATCTGGTAGGTACAAGACGCCTTAATCCACTTGACCATCTTGACCATCAGCTTCTGGGAGTATGGGTTCGAGTCACTTCTGGGGTGTGAGTTTTCAGTTGCATATGTCCTGGGGACCATTCAGGCTTGTTCGCATATATATATATATATATATATATATATATATATATATATATATATATATATATATATATATATATTGTTGTTATATGGAAATTGTTGCTCCTGGCAGAATGGGTTCGACTCACTTCTGGGGTGTGAGTTTTCAGTTGCATATAGTCCTGGGGACCATTCAGGCTTGTTTGCATTTGTGTTCCTCACGTGTGCCCCAAAGAATGAGGTGATTTGATAAAATACCATGCCTAAGATCACCATCAGAGTGCTGGCGGGCTGATGGGCAAAATAGCCTCGGCTACCATGGGAGCCGGTCGGCCGAGCGGACAGCACGCTGGACTTGTGATCCTGTGGTCCTGGGTTCGATCCCAGGCGTCGGCGAGAAACAATGGGCAGAGTTTCTTTCACCCTATGCACCTGTTACCTAGCAGTAAAATAGGTACCTGGGTGTTAGTCAGCTGTCACGGGCTGCTTCCTGGGGGTGGAGGCCTGGTCGAGGACCGGGCCGCGGGGACACTAAAAAGCCCCGAAATCATCTCAAGATAACCTCAAGATAACCATCAGCTTTTGACTGGTCGTGTTGGTCGAGTGGATTAAAGTGTCCTGTACACATCAGTTGCATTGTTGCTCCTGGCAGTATGGGTTCGAGTCACTTCTGGGGTGTGAGTTTTCAGTTGCATATAGTCCTGGGGACCATTCAGGCTTGTTCGCATTTGTGTTCCTCACGTGTGCCCCAAAGAATGAGGTGATTTGATAAAATACCATGCCTTAGATCACCATCAGAGTGCTGGCGGGCTGATGGGCAAAATAGCCTCGGCTACCATCAGCTTTTGACCGGTCGTGAGATATATATATATATATATATATATATATATATATATATATATATATATATATATATATATATATATATATATATATATATATATATATATTATATATATATATATATATATATATATATATATATTTATATATATGTATATATATATGTATATATATATGTATATATATATGTATATATATATATATATATATATATATATATATATATATATATATATATATATATATATATATGTATATATGTATATATGTATATATGTATATATATATATATATATATATATATATATATATATATATATATATATATATATATATATATATATATATATATATATATATCACGACCGAAAACACTGATCCAAGTATGCGGAAAATCCACATGTGAAAAATAGAGAATGCTAAACGCGTTCTCAGCTCAATTCGCCTTCATCAGAGCATTTTAGAATATGAGCATTCTAACATGCTTTGATGAAGGTGAATTGAGCCGAAAACGTGTTTAACATTCTTTATTTTTTACGTGTATTGATTTATAGATTTATATTTTCGTAGCAGTCTTCCTTGTAAACATATGTTGTTGAATATAACTGAAAGGGTAAGATTAATGTGTCGGAAAACCGACACCATATACTAATATTAAATACAATATGCAGATAATATTGCTGCTGTTGTATAATTAAATTCACTCATAGAAGATGTAGTGCAGAATCTCGTTTATCGTCAATAGAAAACAATGATATCTCGTTTCCGTCAATAGAAAACGAGATATCATTGCCACATAGCGCTATAAATTTACCAGCTATTCTGTTGGGAATTATTCTTAATACAGCAGTCTTTGGATTTTTAACATCATAAAAACATATCATTCGAATTAACTTAATTATCAGTACCAAAATAGAGTAAATGTGACCTGTCTACCACTTGTTGACATCTGGGCAAGAGAGCCTGGGCCTCAGGGGGTGGAGAGTGGTCAGCCATTGTTGTTAAGACAACAGGTCACTGGAGCATATTTAGCTCGAGAATTCTCCCTTGGATAGCTGAGTCACAGGAGTAAAGTTATCGACGCGCAACTACGTCGACTATAAGGGAAATGTGTTACCGAAACCCATTTATTACCACATTCCTGGCCAGTTATGTTATGTATATTGGGCGAACCGGTTAGCACGCGAGAAAGCGACTTAACGCAGGTAATTGTTCCTTGGTTCTTATCTTATAAATAATACACCAATATTTCCTCTGATATAGCTGTCATATATATAGGATTCCGACTTTAGAGCAAGTGCCCTTTCACAGGAACAATTGAAGAGGAAGCAAGAATTAATCCTCATAAACCAGTACACGGGTGTTGCTGCTAACCTCAACTATGAGGATTATTTAGTGTCATCATACTGGTTTATACCTGGTGGACCAGGCCTACTATACAATAAGATAAGACCTCCCAATTTTAATTACTAATATATGTAATTTAATACTATAGTTTGATTGGCTGCATATATGTAAGTTTAATATAAACCCCCCTAATGTGCAAAGAGTCGATTTGTGAGCATATTGCAGAAATACAGTCCGCTTAAACATCATACACATTGCTATCGAAAAATAACTGTCTACCATTCTCCCAGGTCTCCCAAAAGACAAAGGCACTGCCATTGTCTTTTAAAAATTCAGTGGCAAGGTATATGCCTGCAAGTTCGGTTTGAGTTGTACTTGCCCAGTCATTGACGCGCTTCATTGCTGTATGTACGAGAGAAGATTTTTCAAATATATTACATGCACATCTGGTAAATTCGTCCACCTTCTTCTACAGAGCCGTCGGTATAGCACTGATAAACATCGTTACCCATACTCTGAGTACTCTCAGTGATGCTTTTCAGTGTTAACTTTTTTAATAATGTAGAGTGCACACTATCTTTCTTGGGCGCATTTACAAAATCAACTGATAGATCCCAGTTATCCCATGGAGTAATTGGTTGATTAATCATTAGTTGAGTTGGGTACATATTTAATATTTTGATGGAGTTGGCTACCTTGTAGAACCAAAATACATAATCAGATTTCGTTCTTCTTCTATAGACCTCAGGTGAGTGCAGTATATTATAAAGTTTAGCTTGAAACTTCATGTGTTGTCTAGATCTACTCAATGCCTTCACGCCGAAAACTGTGCTAATAGACAAAATTCTCTCACTTATGGTAAGTAATTTTAACTCTGCTCTCATATTAACTATTCTTGTGGACTTTGGAGCCTCAAGGATGAGACGCATAGCTTCATTTTGCAAGGTTTCAAGAGATTTCAGCTCTTTGTCAGTATACAGTGTGAGATGTAGAGCATTGTAGTCAATCACAGAGCGTATAAATGATACATAAAACATTCTAGCAAG